TAATGCCCATGCTCATAAAGACCTTAACCTTTTTTCCTGTGTATGGCATTCTTGCATTACTTATATGACCCATCTTATATGTTAAAAACATGATACGCGCAGCCTGTACTCCGTAGTATGTTTTAAAAAGTGCTGTAAGTAAATGGATAGCACCATTACACTTAAAACAGAAGAAAAAGCATTTGTGTCATGGTCTAGTGACATTTCACACGAAGGGGTCACAAACCCTTAGTGCTGTTCTGGCACCCCCAAGGCGCCAATCCTTACACTGTAAACTCTTTGCCTGCCCAGCCTATGACCAGGTAGACTCATTCAAATCAGGAGGCTCTGGGCCACTTGAGATAGCTGCACTAGGAAAGTACTCCTGCCCCTCCTCACCTTACTTAGTGGGCACTCAATTCAATTTTTCTCACGGTTCAGACCCCTATCATACCAAATAGAGTACTCTGCAGCCAGCCATTCCTACCACGATGCCAGAATTTCCCTCCTGGACACTTATAAGAACAGATACTACAGGTACTACTACTTATGTAAGTGTTTGGTAGACTGGTTGATCATCTCATGTCACACTCTGGGTGATGCTTTTTTTAAGTTAATAGTAATAAGTTATGGAACCCTTTTTTGCTATTGTTCCCCCCTTTCTTCAACAAGACACATAGCTACAGTATATGTCTAACTACTCTCTAATGTCTAAGGCTGCCCATAGTTGATATGTTTAAAAAAGCTAATTGTTTTCTTATGTTGCTACAGCTTCAGAAGTCTTCTTGAAACCTTTACAATTTTTTGTAATAAAACATTTTCCATTATGTATAGTGGCCATGTAATTATTTTACACTTCAAGAATACCTCCATTGTGCACTAACTCCTCCTTTCTCCTCATCAGTGTAAAATAAAGGATTCTTACACCTGATATTCTTCCATAAAGTTTGGGGTATGACATTTTTTTGTTTTCTATGTTGCCATTCATATATCACCGTATTGTAGGAGGAGCAGTAGATCACATGTGTTGATGACACTGTTGAGACTGCGTTTTGAGGCAGTTACTGGTATTGTCTTTGAGTCCTTTATGTGGGTGTGGAGTCCGGCCGTCAGTCCTCTCCTTCCACTCCTCACAGCAGAATTGTGGATTTTCCCTCACTTCCTGTCTGTCCTGTCACCATGAGAGCAAGTGAGGATAAATCTCTTTCCAGTAACAAAAGATAAACAAGACAAGAACTTTTCTGGAATGTCATGAAATTTATTCACGTGATTTCACAATCAAAAGCCTGATATCCAAAAAATGAGATTACACATTGCAAAATGACAGCATATTCAAAACAAATGCAACATTCAGTAGAAAAGCAAACTGTGAGTGACGTATGGAGCAGTTCTTCATATCACAGAGAAGCCTCTGAGCTGTGTCAGCCACTGTCACTTTACATTCACAATTTTATATTTCTAGGTACAAATGATGAATTAGATTTTAGCTGATGGAACGGGATCTAGGGGATCCTATATTTACATTAGATGCACTTACTCAAGTCATCCTGCAAATTCTAGTTTGCAATTTATCCTCCTGGTTTGATCTGTGCTTTTCTGCAAAGCATTTACAGCTTCAAAAGCATCTATATTCTAATATAGTGGTTGACATATACCAGAATATTACCTTTAACAATCAACTGCACCCAAAATGTGCTTCTTCCAGTGGAGTGGTGGAGTTCAATCTTCTGTTGGATCTTCCCTATTGTCCAAGAGCAGGCAGATCACAACCACTCTGACCCCTGACAGGAAATGCACTCATTCCTGGACTCCTAGATGGAACCTTGCCCTGCTCCACCCTAGGCTAGTGCTACATAGATATTTAGTAGGTCAATCATATTACATTATTAGCAATTAATCTTTGAAGCTGGCCACACACGTGGCAATTTGGATAAGGCAATCAAACCTTCAACTCCTTTCTTTTCAAAATCACATAGCAATCGAAGACATCAAATTGTGGTTTTGATTGACCACAAGGAGATGGGATTGAAATTGTCCCAATCAATCCTGACAGAGAAGTCTGATGGTTTATATTGAATTTTCCATAGTTTTTTCTGTTTTTGGAGCTGTTAATTTATTGCCCAGTTTCGGCTTAGCAATCTATCGAATTTTGGTGGTCGATCGAACTCGTTTGTATTAGATTGCCTGGTTTCTGGCGATTACTTCCAATCAAATGTGTAAAGTTCCAGTTAATGGAAATTGGTTAAAATTTACTTAAAACTGCCATGTATAGGCAGCTTAAGGCTAAAATAGCCTTTAAATTGCTGTGCTACTGAGAAAATTAAACTACCTGTTGGTGACACCTCATTTGTAGCACATTGAAATTAGTGGGATGCTACTCAGCCCAGCTAACAATCTGATTGGCCCCCATGAAAGAAAGAGGAGGGAGCCCATCTGACATACAAGAGTCTATGCCAGCTTTGCACTTCTTTCCCCTCACCCTAATCCCCAAGTTATGTTTGCCTTTTGGTACCCCAACTGCCCTCCTATGCGACACCCTGTCCCTTTTCCCGCCCTACTGCCCTCCACGCAGTTTGTTCACTGGGATCAGCCTCCCAGAATCCAGTTTGAAACTGTTTGTAGAACTGGACCACGGTCCACAACAACTGAGACCTTCACCGGTCGGTTCTCACTAGATGGTTTATTAGAACTTAGACGAATTTAAATGAACTAACCAGCTTGCTTTTTGTGTGCACAACTTATTGATCCTTAACCCCAATGAATGTTTCGGGCTGCTGCGTCAGCACTGTTTTATACCTTGTTCTCTTTACATGCTTATTTGAAAACAATAAACATTTTGTGAAAATAAATTACTGGTATGCTAATGAGATAACTGCCAACAAGCGTTTAATTTCCCAGTAGTAAAAATATTTAACCACATGTGTAGTTCTAACCTGTCGCCACACACATGGAACAAATGGTTTCCAATGGTGCAAGCTACACTATTAGCATGTAGTAACAATTGAAAATACACAACTGGACCATTGTGTGATAATAAGAGATCAATCGCTACAACATGCTCCTTTTGTACTTTACATCATACTGGGCCATTTGTTTAATCATTGCAGTAATTGTTCACTATACATAGGGGCTGATGTATAAATGTTTGCACTGCATTCCCATGCCTAGCTGGAGCTGTGAAGCATAGGAAACTAGAGATTAATTGCTAACAATTTTAGTAGCATGATTTAGCTAATAAAATCTCCTGTGTAGCTCTAGTTATTGAGGGAGAAATCCATTCTGGATGGAATTGACCATAAATGGCTCCTAGCATGATAACATATATTGATATAAAAATGTAGAGGATAGCCACACTTGGCTGTGCAATGGCCAAGGATACAGTTTAGTTAACATGCATCAAATCACAGTATTAGTATATATGAGTGCTCGGCAGAGATACTTATTCCTCTCACTCAACACCACTTAGAGTTTAAAGGAGATCCTCAGCAGAGCCACATCATAAAGGAGAATAGGTCTGCCATCAGCTTCTGGCATCAGCTATGGTATTCAGCTACTGGACCATAGAGGTACAAAGGTTCCCTTAGGTTAATTTCTTTTTCTGCCACTTTTGACAATAAATATGTGATTTTTAAGCTTTGTTAATCCTCTCAAACCCCATTGAGAGTCTCTCACAAAGCTTCCCATAACAATACTGAATTCAGCTGTTTGCTTAAACAGCAAAGGCATATACTGCAGCTTAGAAACACAAGATAAATATCAATGTGTAATATGCAAATATCAAATGACTGGAAAATATATTGCTTTTTACTTATGAAGAGTTTTTTCCTTGATAAAATAGATTTTTTCATTGAGAAAAGGGACAACTGGAGAATACTGATACAATACAAGGATGGGTCTGTGTATATTGCCTGATGTAATACACTACTGTGATGTCATTGTGTTACCCAATTTGTCAGTGTATTTAACCTGCTGTGGTCATTCATTGGAAGTGGCATCTTCTGGTAAATGGTCTGCAGTTAGAACTCTTGGTTTTATCTACAGCCGCAAACCAAAGATTCCAGCTGACAGATTATGAAACTGTGAATCTATTTAATGGTTGTTGACTAGAAAGAACGTTTTTTTTTTTTTTTTTTTTTTTTTTTTTTTTTTTTTTTGCCCCTGTACTAATTTTAAAGAGGAACCCTTCGTATTCACATCATTGATAAAGTAACATGCCATTGTTTAAGTGCTGGCAGCACATGATGATTAAATGTCCAAACCAACTCAACCTGCATATGCTTTCATTGGAGATAGATCTAGGGTGCACAGTCCCTGTGCTTCTGCACATGGTAAAGTTTGAAATGGCAAGTTGATCAACCCAGCACAATATGATTATCTATGTTAGGTTCCAAAATACTTTACAAAGTATACAGCCCCCCAAATTCTGAGTTCATACTGAATATAGACCTCGATTTCTCAGTCCTAGTGTGTTACTCCCTCCCCACTATCTACAAATCAATCCCAGTGCCATTACTGCAATTTTCAGGGGCTGTGATTCATAATGTCAAGGCCGCCGTTCAGCTGGGTGGCATCTGAGGCTCAGAGGAAAGAATTTAACCAACACAACAAAAGGACTTGTAGACCTTGTGGTACTTGCATTTAAAATGAATTATTTTACAAACCTGATTTGTTTGCTTTAAAATTGTTCTCTCTCAACACCCTTCATCATTAAAAATGTGGTTTAATCATATCCACCTTCATGCAAGAAAGCAATAACCATTATTGTATTTATGTCACCATTTCATATATGTAGTGTAGGGATCATTAAGTTTGTTGCTGTGACAATACTCTACTACTCTTTGTTGTTAGGACAATACTCTTGCACGGCCCCTACTGCCTCCCCTCCAAGTACTGGTTGGTGCCCAGCTTTACTTCCAATATCCCTAGAATTAAAACTAAACTTTCCTGTGGAATTCGAAAATGTGAGAAGTGGGCATTACCCTGTCTAAAAGGGGATAGATGCAATCAGGGACTGCTGCTTCTCTGTGTCATGGGATATAAAGGCAGGTAGGCAATACAATTTCACAAAGGAGGTCAATATATCTATTTTAGGGGGGCCCTGTTGTCTCTGATGGTAGTACAGTAGAGCAGACAGCCCTAAAGGGGCCAGTCATACTTTATGACAGTCAATAACGTTAAAAATAAGCGCTCTGGGGCCTACATGTAACACAGCACTTACGTGTAGACTGAGGACTGCAGTGAAGCACATTATATACAATATAAATATATTTAAGACATTTGAGCTAAGTATATGTATCATGTGGTCAGTAGAAATATTAGGGATCAAAAAAGGTGTACAGTACAAGAGCTTATTCAGACACCCACCTAAACGTGACAAAATACAACTCTTCAATGTTCAGCTATGAGAAAAACAAAACCTAAAAAAATAGAAAACTCTTATGTCAGATGAAAATATAACACTGCATAATCCGCAATATGCGTATGAGAAAATCCCACGGCGTACATGGAGCTCCGAAGGGATTCATAGTAAAAACGGAGATGAGTACTTTACCAAAAAAGCATGCATACAATCGCTGTGGTCGTACAACACGGCCGCCATGATCATGAACACAACAGTGAGGCAGTGATCTGGAATCGGGGGAAATGGAGATGATTACACGTTGACTAAGCTTTCTGAGGCTGCAAAGTGGGGACACAGAGCCATGTCCGTCTTCTGGAGCTGCTTCAGGATCCGTTTGTGGAACTTGTTGCGCACCCGGTTGAATTCCATGATGTCCACAGGGTCCACTTCAAGCCAGAACTTGTGGAACTCGTGCATCAGAAAGCCTGAGAAGGAGCGTGTAAGATGGTTAAACCTGCAATATTTCTCATGTGTTGTTACTATCTACAACAGTTCTAATTCTGTCTTAAACATAATGCTGTAAAAGAGACGATTAGGGGAATGAAACACTGTACTCAGTTCTTCCATCAATAAAAACGTTATCATATTTTGGAAATGTCATGTTTTAAAAGAGCGTAATCTGGTCTGAAACCTTTATAAGGTAACAATGTTGAAGTGCAGAACCTTGTGGTACCTGCAAGTATCAGTCTTCAGATCAATCCATGCATGGATCTCTATGGATCGTCTTGAATCATAGGTCCAGACTATACACTGAGCGGCATCCCGGATTGAGATTAAGGCCCAAGTAGAGGTGCACCGAAATGAAAATTTCGAAACCGAAATGAAGAAAAAATGTCAGGCCGAAACTGAAAATGTTTTTTTTTCTAACTTTAAAAAAAAAAATGAAATATTATATTTTATTCATTTTTAGAATCTTTTCATTTTTTTTTATATTTTTATTTATTTAATATTATTCTTAGGGGCTTTGGGGAAATATTAGGGGTCTAAACAGACCCCTGATATTTCCCTTTTAAAATAGAAAAAGAGATTGCGAACACAGAGTCCCCAATCTCTTTTTCTGCAGCCCCTGTTACAAATGAACAAGAATCCTCTATACTGAGTGTTCCTGTTCATTCATAACATGAGAACAGAGTATGTTTACTATAACCACAATCATGAATGAACAGGAGGTGATTTAGATGACTTCCCATTCATTCATAATTAAGGATACAGTAAACATACTCTGTCCTTAATTATGTACAAACACTTTGTACCCGCTCTCCATCCTGGATCTGCAGTGCGGGGAGGAGATCTTTGAGAGCTGTCTCCGCCCCCACACCACCGCTCTCCTGATCTGTCACAGAAGGCTGAGCGGTACGGGGAGGAGAGACGGCGGCCGCTCATAGCGCTCTTCTCCCACACTGCTCGGCCTCCTGTAACAGTCTCTCTCCTCCCCGCTGGGACACAGAGCAGCGCCCAGCATAGAAAGCAGATGCACCACTATTTCGGCCAAAAAATTGCACTTTCGGCATTTTGCCAAAAGTGCCGTTTTCGGCCGATACGAAATATCAGTGCATTCCTAGGCCCAAGTTTATAAAAATTGCCCTTTTACTGCACATATCACCTTCTCTGCAGCACTGACCCACTAAGACTCACTGTAGTCCAGCACAGGTTCACATCTAGGCTGAATGATACTCTGGGGAGGGGAGAGATGGTCTGGGTGGAGGGGGAGAAGAATTCTCAAGCCAGGTACATGGGGAACTGAATGCAGAACAACATCTAGCTGTGGTTAATTTAGTTTACAATTTGACTGCATCATTCAGGAAAGCATGAAGCCTCGTCCAGCAAACAGCCATTTGCTGCATGGTGCTGAATGGTTTGGCTCTGTAAATATCGCTGTCTGCTGGGTGTGGCTTTGCCCTGGCCCAAATACTGTAGCCCAAGTTTAGTAAGATGCTCTTTCTCATCTTGCAGTTGGGCAGTGCTTGGTGTGCATCAAAAACACTGCCTAAGTGGCTCCTTTCAAAGCCCATATCCTGGTCCCTTATGGCAATGCAAAATATGCACCAATAATGACACCACATGATAATATTATTTTCAAAATACATCAGTATGTGGAATAGGAAAACCAATACTCACAGAATGTTTGCTGGAAATGATGCAGTGATGGAGCCTCAGGGGCCACATTGTACAGGTGAGTCTTCAGAGCCCCACTTATCAGCAGGTTGTAGGCCAGGTCAGTGATATTAATCCCAACTATGGCAAATGAATAGCTGTAAACACATAGAAAGATACATTTAAGAAATAAATGTTGGGGTCAATTTGGGTACAGCTTCAATTCTACAATGTCTGGATTATCTTTTGTGCTTGGGGGGATATTGTCTTTGGCCATCTCCTTTAGTGTGTTGTGCAGTGTTTGGCCATTGTCTATAGCAGGGGTCCCTAAATGGTGGACTGAGAAGTGGTTCTATCCAGACTGCAATCTCCGATTAGGCTATGGCTGGCTGGCAGTGGATGCGCCGGCCTGTGGGGCCACATCCACAGCCAGCTATAACTCACTGCAGGTCCCCTTTCCTCCCCAGTCATTGGCTGCTAGGAATGCTGCGGTCCTAGCAGTCAATGACATCACTTTGTTCCCACCCAGCATTAAGGAAGGATGGAAGAGTATCTTCTTCTGTCCTCCCTTGCAGCCTGAAGTCTTGCTCCTCCCATCCCTGCCTTCTTGCCCCTCCCATCCCCACCTCTCATGTCCCCTCAGCACGGACTCCCACTGCCAGCTTATCGGGCTGTTAAGATGACAGCAGCATTTTAAAGGGGCACTCTAGGAACCACCAGTCTAAGAGGACACGCTGATGGGGGCATCACATATAAGGGGGCACTCTAATGGCGGCAACTAATGTAAAGGGGCACTCCGATGGGGGCATCTAGTGTAAGGGGAGCACCCTGATGGGGGCATCTAATGTAAGGGGCACTCTGATGGTGGCAACTAATCTAAGGGGGCACTCTGAAGGGGACAACTAATGTAAGGAGGGCACTTCAATGGGGGCATATAATGTAAGGGCGAGCAGAACAAATGACAAACGCACTCAACAATTCGTTTCCAGCTATACAGTAAGGTGCACACGAAATGGGCTTTAAACAGCAAAACAGTAAAAAGTTATCATGGCACACTCACAAGCCAGCATGTAAAAAAACTTGTCTCACCACTAAGGTTAACAACAGAGGTTTGGATACACGTCTTCTGCAGAAAATGTGAAAGCCGCTATTTTCCCACTATATCAAGAAAGTAGACCACCGCTGGTCTATATTTTAGTGGCTACTGTTCACTCCTTGATATCTATGCTCTTACACAGTGCTAACTCATTGTCTACAACTCCTATCATTTGAAACATACTGACTAAATATGTCATTTTTTTATGGTTTGTCCGGGCAGTGTTGATACTTGTGGATTATATAAAGAGGACTGGACCTGAATTGAATGTGCACTGCTAGCAACTAGAAGAAAACTAGTGTTTTTGTTGTCTATTATGTTTTCCTACTGCTTCTGTTGCTTTATCGTACAGTTCGTATATGCTGGACCTAATCAAACATTTTTTTTTTTATACTTTTGAGAAAGGATGAGTACACACAATACTGATATTTAGCTACTGAATCAACAAGGGATAGAAGAACACAGTAGGTGATTCAGATTATCAGCATCCACCCATAATTCATTTTGGATGGACCAACCTTTTGTAAAAGGTAAAATACATGTAGTTTCTCTGGAGATTACATACCCAATTGCCTTGTCAAACTTTTTCATTTCCCATTCTGTTTTGCTGACTTTACTGCAAATAAATGATATATTTTGTTATTCTTTGAATATAAAAAAGTGAAGGTAACAATGAACACATACAAAAAGAAAAACACAAAAGAGCTGAGAACATGCAATCATATTTCACAAGACTGCCAGCCAAAAACAAATTACAGGACACAGGACAAAAAGACACAACATCATTTAGTAAAACTTTAAATTCCTTATTACAATTGTTCACCATCACACTTTGTCACTATGGATCTCATCATCATTTCCTATACTCTGGGGGCACAACACTGGCGGTCACCCCTATTTTTTTATTGTATGATCACAGCCCCTCCCACCCAAAAGCCAATTAGAGGGGTTTGGTGGGGTGCATTAATATAAAGTTAGTTAGTATAAAATATAATTTATGCAGTCACGTGTGCGTGTATAGATCTTGTTGTCCATCTAGAAAGGTTACAGTGCAACAGTTGAATTAAGTAAGAGTTGTCGTCCTCGGAAAGGAAATGCCTGCAGAGACACTTTGCTGGTACAATCGCCAGGAATTTTTTTTTCAAAGTAAGATAATAAAAACAGCAAGAAACATTTTGACATCACAAGAACATACACTATAAAAGTTTGTGGAAACCTGACCAACCCATTTACAACTATATGGACACAACTATGTAGACATACCTTCAAATGATTGAGTTCAAGTGTTTTCACTTGAAGGTACTGGTAATACTGTAGCATACAAATGCAGTTGTTTACTTTCCACCTTTTGGCAACAGTTTGGGGAAGACCCATTTGAGTTCCAGCATGACTGTGTCCCAGTGCACAAAGCTGGCTCAATAATTGTTTATTGAGTTTGGTCTGAAGGAACCCATGTGCCCAGCACAGAACCCTGATGTGAATTTCATTAAATACCTTTGGAAAACTGAAGAAGCAAACTATGGGCAGTTGTATTTATAGGAGAACTATGAGGTTAGAGATTTTCACTCAACCTCATAGTTCGAGCCGACGTGTGACAATGAAACTGTCACAAGTTGGCTCAATAGATCGGGAAGTGAGTGAACACATACCGTCGCTCGCTCACTTCTCGATCATCTCCCTACAGAGAGCCGTGACTGCCACTCATGGCTCCCTGCAGGAATTCCCCCCTCCGATCCTCCAGTGCTGACTGGCAGAACGGACGTGGCGGGTACAGCTGGCTCTGCCTCTAGATAGGCAGAGCCAGCTGTCAATCACGCAGCTGGGTGGATTTCAACAGTAATGTCGGGATCCGTCGCGGCTGCGGCCTCTCAGTATACCGTGAGCTGTAGCTCGCGATATACTGAGCTTTGGGTCTTGGGAGGATGCTAGTTTATGTCCTCCCGTGACCCTTAGGAGAACTATGGGGAAAAACACTGACCCCATAGCTCTCCTTTAACTGTCGACAATCCTTTTGCACAGAGATAAGGCTAGCAGGTTTCACTAATGCTTAGTAATCCTGGTTTAATGTTAGTGTATAAAGATTTTGTGCATATTTTATTTCTTTGTTTATTATAGTCAGGACTAAAAATACTACAGTAATAATTAAAATAATATGTCTCTTTTATTAAAGTCGGGTTAATATGAACTATTGTATATTAATTTGGTACATAGTCTTTCATGAACAGGCAGGTCTATTTTCACATAGTTGCATAGTATTATAATCCTATTCATTTGTGTTAAAAGAAGCCTCTTGTTTTCAGCAGCCTTTCTTAACCTAGGTGCCACAGCATGCTGGGATACCATCTGTTTTTTTCAGGGGGGCTATGACACAGCTTCATGCATTTCCATAGTACAGACTAGGTTGATAACAGTAGCATGCAAACTAATGTTGCAAATCCAGGTGAACAGGCGTGATCCATGCAGAAGAGGAAATAAATATTCCTCCATCCAGACCTGCCACCTCCCACCATCTGTCATGCTGCTGGCTTCTTCTGTCAAGGGAAGACTGAGAGGGACATTGCTGTGAACACAGGGGACTGTGAAGGGGAAACCCCTCTTTTTTTGTTTTTTTTTGCGTGGGGTCCGACCTTAGAATCTATAACAGACACCTAGCAAGAATAATGGTCTGCTATGGATTTTGAGGGGGACCACATGCCATTTTTAAAATGTAACTTTTTTTAACATTTTAGATTTTCCATACTTTTAAGGAGTGCCCTGACAGAAAAAAGGTTAGTCCAAGGATTTATTGTGACGAATAAAGCCTGAAAGCAAGCTGCTCTGCTGTACTGTCTCTTTAGATAACCCAGAGTGCTCTGGGAAAAAAGGTTAGTCCAAGGATTTATTGTGACGAATAAAGCCTGAAAGCAAGCTGCTCTGCTGTACTGTCTCTTTAGATAACCCAGAGTGCTCTGGGAATATTTTGTCATATGGTAAATGTCTATGAGTAATGTTTATCTAAAAAAAGGTATAAACTATAGTTTTAAAAAAAACATATACTCATCTTCAGTGATATATAAATATTCTACCCATCAGCACCCACCCAAAACTAAAATATCAGGTTTAAATTGGGATTATCCTTTTACGGGAAGCTGCAGTGAGTAGAATTTCAAAGGTGCTCTTGTAAAGTTGTGCTAAAGCTTTAAGAAATCTTCATGTCTCAGAAGTCTGCAAATAAGTGCACTGCTCTTCATCTGTGGCTGTTGCATTTCACATTGCACAGATTTGCATTGCTGAAGGGCATTCATCCTATGCCAAGCACTCACACTGTGTGCTACTTCACTTAGTTAATGCTGAATGGGGACATGGGCTTCCTGAAACAGCATTTCAGACAAGCTAATGGCTTGTAATTTATTCCTCTTTTAGTCAATGTACTGAACATGAGCTGTGGGCGGATGGTCTGACATTTGCTATCAGCAGCAATTCACTATGAAGCTCTATTTAATAGACCCATCTTTTCTAAATTCGAACTTGGCTGAACTGGAGTCATCATGAAAGTCTGTAAAGTACTTTTTTACCATTTGTTTTTCTTTTTACATATTTCCATGCCTGTATTTTATTTTTATAGTATGGCATTATTGCTAAAAGTACCTGATGACGTCACAAAGAGGTCACTTGCAATCTAAAATCATAGGCAATAACAACAGACAGTTGGACATTTGTCTTTCAGTGGTGTGCTGGCAATGGTCTCCTAAAAATGCACCCTTCCTCTTAGCCCTGCCAATGTTCTGGATTTAATGTTTTCTTTCTAAGGTCGCTGACCCAGTGCAAGTGAGCAACATATGAAGTAAGAAAACCTCATGTGCATACTTGTTTTAAATCAGTGATCCAGAAAATCAGCATGGTAGTAGGAAACTTGCATTTTCGGGAGATCAGCAAACCCAAATATTCATCTGATCTTGTGCATACCCTCTATAGACTTAGTTTTTGGATACCCAAAGGTAGTGGAAGTGAGTTAAAAGTATAATTCTTTTTCTTGGTCAAATGTGTTCAGAGAGATCTGGGGTAAGATCTGAGCAGATTGGGGTGGATGAACATTTTGTGCAGTCTGAGACTCAGGTGCCCCTAAATTCTAGATGTGGGTTGGACAGGTGCTGGGTCCCACTTACTACATATAGCTCAACATTGTTCACTTTTAGGGCAGGAGAAAAGCGGGAGATTTTTCTGGTACTGAAGCACACAGAATGCTTCTCCCATTTCCCCTTGACATTATTTGGGTTAAGACGTCCACACAGTTCAATCTTTTTCTAGTTCAGCCCCGAAGGCTGAACGGCAAAAATTCACTTAATTTCCCCATCCACATTAAGAGCATTGACAGCGGAGTCTCCCCTGCCGGCTAATGTATCCTTACAGCTGATGTCATAGCTGTCAAAATACCCAAACAGTGACTGCACCTGACTGGCTTCCATCCCTGTTCGGCTGACAATTTTCCAGACAGCTCCTTCGAAAAAAATTTAATAAAAAATTGACTTGTGTTGAGCCGGGTGGTGCTAACAGGGTCATCCACAGCTCAAATTTCAGCCCATTCAGCAGGAAATGGCAATAATTCTATCCGTGTTTGGCCAGGGAGAGTACGGCCTACCCCTGGCAGGCCCTAAAGCCCATTCTCACATTTTCTACTTGTAACATATTTTGATATTTAATAACTTTTCCTTCCCTCTCAAAGATAATTACAATAATGAGTCCACAAATCCATTACAGAAACTGCAAAACTACAACAACACAAAACATCTCAACAAACAAAATCACAAATCATTTAAAAAAGTAATGTAAAAGATGCATTCTTCCTTGGACACTGTGAGATACAAATGACAACAATCTCATTGAACTACATTGATTATAATTATTGCCTCACTAGCTATACACACTTAGAATGTGGCATTGCTCCTTCACAGTCCAATCAAAGCTTGGGATTGGTCTTCATCATTACCTCAGTCCAATGAGTGTGTATGTGATGTTACCCACAATCACTCAAACAGGCAGTGACGGTAGCATTGCCTTTTTTAACGAGATGGTGTGAATGGGCCCTAAAGGAACATGCAGCAATGTTTTTTTTTTTTACTAAACTTGTTGCAAACACATATTTGATTTAATCTATAACATTAATAATTAAAACTCAAAAATAATCAAAACTCAAAATGTTTTTATTGCAGGAAAGTCTCACCCTGTCAGCTGGGGGAGTGTCTCACCCTATCTTCTAGGAGAAGAGCCTCACCCTGTCAACTGGGGGAGTGTCTCACCCTATCTTCTAGAAGAGCCTCACCCTGTCAGCCGGGGGAGAGTCTCACCCTATATGGGTTGGACTCACCCTATATGGGTTGGACTTGATGGACGTATGTCTTTATTCAACCCCAAATACTATGTAACTATGTAACTATGTCTTCTAGGAGAAGATTCTCACCCTTTCACCTGGGAGAAGAGTTGCACCCTGTCTCTAGGAGAATAGTCTCACCCTCTCATCTGGGAGGACAGTCTCACCCTGTCTTCTAGGAGAAAAGTCTTGCACTGTCACCTGGGAGGAGAGTTCCACCCTATCTTCTAGGAGAAGAGTCTCGCCCTGTCACCCAGGAGAAGATTCTCACCCTGTCTACTAGGAGAAGAGTCTCACCCTGTCACCTGGAAGGAGAGTCTCATCCTATCACCTACTAGAAGAGTCTAACCCTGTTTTCTAGGAGGAGAGTCTTGTCCTGTTACCTGGGAGGAAAATGTCATCCTGCCACCTGGGAGGAAACTATCACCTTGTCAACTTAGGGAAGAGTCTCACCCTGTCTTCTAGAAATATCTAACCCTGTCACTTGGGAGGAACGTCTTACCATATCTCCTAGGAGAAGAGTCTCGCACTGTCACTTGAGATGAGAATCTGACCCTGTCACCTGGAAGGAGAGTCTCGGCCTGTCACCTGGAAGGAGAGTCTCATCCTATCACCTGGAAGGAGAGTCCCGCCCTGTCACCTGGGAGGAGAGTCTCCCCATTTCCACCTGGGACAAGAGCCTCACCCTGTCTTCTCGGAGAAGAGTCTGACTCTTTCACCTGCGAGAAGAGTTGCACCCTGTCTTTTAAGAAAAGAGTCTCACCCTGTCACTTGAGGGGAGAGTTTCACCCTGTCACCTGGAAGGAGAGTGTAGCACTGACACCTGGTAAGAGAGTTTCACTCTGCATTCTGAAATGTACACCCCAATATTTTGCTGTTTTGTTACATTTTGCAGGTAGCAGGCTCCTGTGGTATCTAGATTACAATACTGAAAGTGGGGTGAGTGGGGCTTTGAACCTAATGCATGATTGTTATTAGTAACACAAGTGTCAAAAAAAGAATGCATCCTACAAAATAAGTTGGCAAACGAGAAAAAAAATTAAAGCAAAACTGAAATTATACCTGAATTCTTCTTTACTGACATCCCTTTGATTGAGAAATATAAAGCGGAAAATAATAAATCAACTAAAATAATTTGTATAAACAAAATATGAACTAAATAAATGGCTATGGCATACTGGCGTGGAGAAGTTAACAGGACGTAGTTGAACTGTAAGTAAACCCTTAACAACCTTCCCTTTTGTGCTTCCATTAAAGTCCATTGAAAGTCTTTTGTTATACAGTATGTGTTTGATAAGTGCAAAAAATACCGCTTGGTCCTTCCAGAATCTTGTGAGCTGACAACATTGTTTTCCTCTGCTGCACTCTTAGTTATACTGATTCCAGTCAACTCTGTGGACTACAAAAGGCCTCCCCCATGCTATGGAGAACTGGAGAGGGGGAGGTATTCTTTATTCCTGTCCTAGGGTGACAATGCTGCTCCTCCATAGATACAGTGCAGCAAGTGAGTGTTGTCACCCTGGGACAGAAGTGTTTTACTGGCAGGTTCATCAAGTGAAAATAAAGGGAAAAACAGACTAAAAAAAAACTAAGACTAAGAAAGTAACTGCTATACAGAGATGGGTTTGACTGTGTAGTTCAAGCAATGTCAAAGGGAAGTTGTAAAAAATAAAAAGCTATGTGGAGCCGTAGGAAAATAAACAGGTTCAACAAAAAAAATTTTTTGACAGCACTCATACACTCATCTTTCAGGGTTGACTAATACAGCGCAGTA